ATCACTTTTGGTCCCAGGAAATCCACACTGGACATGCGAATCGCATACGCAGCATCCACAGAAAGTTAATGTATGGGCAGGTATCATCAACAACAGAATCTTGGGCCCATTCTTTTTTTAAGAAAATCTTACTGCCGCACGCTACCTGGATTTCCAACATTTGACCTGAAACCTGCTCTAGCTGTGATTTTCCCTCATGAAATTGATCCAGATATACCGAAAGAAAGAATTTGGTTCCAACAAGATGGCGCTCCCCCACATTTTGGTATTGATGTTCGAAAATACTTAGATGAAATGTTTCCAAATCGCTGGATTGGTAGACGGAGTACAGTTGAATGGCCGCCAAGATCCCCCGACTAAACACCCCTGGATTATTTTCTTTGGGGATATTTGAAAGAAAAAGTCTACCAGGACAGACCGGATATTGAGAATTTAAAGAACAAGATTAGGGCGGAGATGCATAATTTACCAGCTGAAGTCATTCAGAATGCTGTGGACAGCTTTTACTATCGTCTTGGAGAATGTCAAATAGTGAATGGAGGACATTTTCAGCATTTGCGACATTGAGTTTATTTTTGTAAATTATCTAGTTGTTTCAATTTCTAAATGAAAAAAAACTTGCTATTGAAAAAATAAAACTTGTTTATTTGGTATGGCTTGATTCAGTTTTCTATAAGCTTTTCAACGAGCCCCCTCATGCCTTATGTTTCCATTTGAAAAAAAAGTAGGGGTAGCTGGGGATTAGGGGGTTGAAGAAAAATTAATTATTATATAACCGAAAGATGGGAAAAAATCAAAATCAGTTAACGTGTTCTGGGTTTTAAAAAAAATTAACTCATTCAAAAGATATGAATTTTATTCCGTACTTCTGGCCATCCCTGTATATTAAATCTATCAATGTGAGCCTTTAATTGATTGTATGCAATTCGTTCAAGTATTTTAGAAAAGATAGGGAATACACTTATCGGTCTTAGTACATTATATGAGGCAATATTATCTTTTTTATGAATAGGTGTTACAATCGCATGCTCCCAACGTATGGGCACAAGGCTATTTTTTAGAGAAAAATGTATAATGTGTAAGTGCATCACCACAAAAAGAAAAACAGCTTCAGCATTTCTACTGTTATGCCATCCACACCAGAAGAATTAGTTGTAATATTTAGAGCTGATAAGATAATATTCTTGTCCACAGTTTTGAACTTAAAGTTATCGGTAACTTTTCCACATTTATTATTATTAAAAAAGGTAACAGTATCCGGGTCTGCTGCCATCGAGTTTATAAAAAAATTGTTTATAGAATCAGGATGCTTCAAGTATATTTAACAATTTGAATTTTTATGAACATTTAATTTGCGTAGAAACAGAAACTTTAAATTTTTATAACTCGAATTTAATTCATTTTCAATATATTTTCAATATAATTATATAATTGTGCGAGATTTTAATGTACCTGGTCTTATGGCCTTATTAGACGATCCCAAGAGCAGAAGTATGAAGAACTTTATAGACTTCTTAGCAGTTGTGCAACACTCAATCACTAACTGTAATAATTCAATTCTCGATCTTGTCTTATCTGTAAAACGTTGCACCGTCGTTGCCTCTGAAGACTCTCATCATCCTGCACTTGTTTTTACAACACATGTAATAGCTAAACATCAGCAGAGATTTCCAATTAACTCACTCTATAAGTCATACAATTTCAAAAAAGTCAATTTTCGCGCTCTTTACAATGCTATGACTGTGGTGGACTGGTCATTTTTGGAAGCTTTTGAGGATGTCGAATTGGCTTGCGATGCCTTTTATATTAAGTTATATTCTCTTCTTGACGCCCATGTGCCGTAGTATGTAAATATCCCGTATGGTATGGCCATGAGTTGAAACGAACTATTCAGCAAAAAGAGTATTTCTTTCGGCAGTATAAGAAACATGGCAATTTATTTTATCTAAACCAGTTTAAAGTTTTGAGAACTCTAGTTAAAACACTCGCCAGTCGTGACTATAAATCTTATCTGTCACACATAGAAAGTAACATTAGAACAGAACCTAGACAGTTTTGGAGTTTTGTAAACGGCAAAGCGGGTTCTAGTAGAATACCTAACACGATGCACAATTCCGACAACGTTCTTTTAAATGTGGAATCCTTTAAGATTATTTTGGGAGCGTTCCCAGTAAGCCTCTCTCGGGTGAACATCGAAGTCTTGGCACGTTTAACTGTACTAACTTTCCTGCAATAACTGTCAATTTTCTGACTGACGAGGAAATTGGAAATTGTTAATTCAGCTAGGAAGCTCTTAAAATCGGAACTTTTCCTAGTGTGTGGAAGGTGGCAAGTGTTTGTCCAATCCTCAAAGGCGGTGACCCTTCTTACATTAATAACTATAGACCCATTACTTTGTTATGCAATTTTGCGAAGGTCTTCGAGATATCGTTGTATAATCGTATGTTGCCACTTTTCAGGGGCATCATATCTCCTGAACAACATGGTTTTATAGAAAATAGATCAACTACCACAAATCTGATGTGTTTCACGGAGTTCATATGTAATGTTATTGATCAGCGTGGGCAGGTGGACGTTATATACACCGATTTCTCAAAGGCCTTCGATCGTATTGATCACGGCATACTTTTCCATAAACTCGAAGTATACGAGTTTTGTGGCAACTTTTTACAACTGTTTAGCTCATATTTGTCAAATCTTCTACAGTATGTCACAACGGTTATAAGTCCAGTCAGTACTCTATTACTTCTGGAGTACCACAGGGTTCCAATCTAGCTCCCCTCCTATTTTCCATCTTTGTTAATGATATTACGACTTACATTGACTGTCGCAAACTAGTTTATGCCGATGACTTAAAAATCTTTTCCTCTATCTCAACTGATGACGACTATCTTCACCTTCAGAGTCAATTAGACAAAATAGTCCTTTGGTGCGATTCAAATAATTTGCATTTAAATATCTCCAAGTGTAAAGTCGTTTCTTTTTCACGTAAACTTAAGCCCATTATACTCAATTACAAAATTAACTCGGACGTCTTAGAGCGCACGGAGTGTCCTCAACACTTAGTACGCTGGGCTTTGTGATTAGATAAGGTCGTGAATTCAGAGATAATGTCGTTTTGTTTTCATTATTTTACGCGTTTATCCGTTCCAAATTGGAATACTGATCTTCGGCTTGGATTGTGTTTTATATTGACCAAGCCAGTTTAATTGATTCGGTGCAAAAAAAGTTTTTCAAATACCTCGCATTTCGTTCTGATGGCGTATATCCTGCTCGTGGATGTGATTGTAAAGTACTGTAAAACACGCTTCAAACTCAACTTGTTACAGTACAGAAAGCACTTCCATAGTTTGAAATTTTTACATGCACTATTAAACAATAAAGTAGACTGTCATGAGATTCTAAGTCAATTGAACTTCTTAACAGTTAGACCGACTTGCTGCTCTCCACTTACTTTTTATACTTCTGCTTCTAATGCCAATGTGGGACTGAAGTCTCCTGTTTTATGTCACACAATTATAACAATCTGTAACTCTAGTGATATATTCAACTGTAGTTTGCAGCATCTGTACATAGCTTTTAGAAGTGTCAACAATTCATGATTGGTAGCATAGGGAGCTTTTTCCTTTTTCTTCTTATTTTCTTTTTCTTTTGTTGTTACACTATTTTACCGGCATGTTTGTTATTGTTCTTTACATTTTGTACTGTATGCTTACTTTGTCCTGTAATTGGTGATTTTCACTGTTGGACAAATGATTTAAATAAATAAATAAATAAATAAATAAATATGCTTTTTTCCTCTTTGAATGGAGGCTGTGACAAAATTTCTCATTTCTCTATAGAACATCCATTTTGCTTCAAATTCAAATTTTTTAAAAAGATTTACTATACTCAGATAGAGCGTTATCTCGTAAGCGCAACATGTGTTTAATGTTAGATGTAACCCAAGGATTAAAATTTGTTGTGATTTTTCTTACAGGGGCATCAATATTAAATAAAGTTAAAATTCCATTTTCTAAATACTGAACTTTCCCCTCAATGTCATTATCAGAAAACACAGGATTCTAGTTAAATCACCTTGCAGATGTTTCAAATTGTAACATTTATATTTTTAATATTTCTACAGTAAATATATTGGGGCGATTGTTTTCTACATATAGGTAAATTTATTAAACAGTACACCAACCGATAGTCACTATTAAATTGGGGTAACTCTATATTAGAATTTCTAACTAATTCAGGAGAATTTGACCAATATGATCTAATAAAGTTTCGCTATGAGATGTTACTCTGGTAGGCTTTGATATAATTTGACTTAAATTAAAAGAATTAGAAAAAACTGAAAAATATGTTCTAGACTGTGTGCATCTAAATAATTTATATTGAGGTCACCTAGACAAAAAATTATGTCTGAAGAAATTAAACAGTCTGCTAGAATATCCTCCAAAGTGTGTGCGCTTTAAAATTTGAACATGTAGGATTATAAATACACCCAATACTTATTCTTTTCATTAATTTTCATAGACAACGATATATACTATCAATGTCGCTAACAGATCCTTTTGAAATTAATTTAATTTACTTTATATAACTGCACCTTCTTAGATATACCGCATCTCCTCCACCTCTTTTTTGTCTGTCCTGTTTAAAAATAGTGTAACCTGGAATATACATCAAAATCTTGTATATCATCAGACAACCAAGTCTCTGATAACGTAAATATATCAAAATTGTTATCTAAAAATTCTTTTAAAATTTCAAATTTATTGAAGAGATCTTATGTTAAAATGTAAAATAAAATGAGATCCCAGTATATTTTCATCATTATCGGCAATTTATATCATATTTATTTAAATGATCCAGCAATTATATCATGTGCGGATCCCATAAGTAAACTTGTACACATATCATATACATTTAAATAAAACAAAAATTTTTCTGTCTAATCCTCTAATAAAATAAATATAATTTTAATTCTAAGTTTACAGTGATATGCGCCTTTAGCATTCTTAAAAAGCGATAACTCACTGATAAAAAAATTAAGCAAATACTGCTGAAAAAAAAAAGAAATATATAAAATCCTAAATATTTCGAATGTTTACATTTATAGCTCTACCATACCAATCAAAATAGCAGTTGTAATTAAAATTTTCTCATTATTGGAAACAGCAAATATTTTCCCGTCTGGCTCCAGACATTGGAAAAACCATATTTATCAATTGCCTTCTTCATTAGTACGATATTGGATTTTGTTAAGTCTTCTTTAATGGAAAAACCAGTTCTCTAAAATAACTTTTTATTCTTATAGATGTTATTTTGGTTTTTAAGAGTCCGTCGCGCGCTTGAAATAAACCCATTTTAAGGGTTCGGCCCATAACACATATTTGGAAAACGAATAAACATAGCGGCCCAAATAAAAAAACAATCGAAAGACAAAGTATTTTTCTAATGCTGTCTTGTAACAGTTTTTTCAAAATTGGTTTCTAATTGTTTAAATTTAAAGAGTAAAATATGCAAGAAATCGTCATATTTACAATTTATTTACGTAAAAATAAAGGCTTAAATCAAAAAGTGCTTACATGAGGGAAGTGGGTCTATCTTTTAGCTTTGCAATGATACCAAAATTATATTGATTTGATAAAAATTACTCAAAATTCTATGCTAAATCCCGAACGTCTACAACTTCAGAAACGAATATATTTTAAATGCTGCAACCACGTGTGTTTTACTCAGTGGGATGGGCTTAGAGATTGGTAATTGCGGACAGGACCGGAGTTCAAAGAAATATCTAGTCAGTGATAATCTATACGTTTTCAATTGAGAGTATTGAATTAATCGATCTTGCGGGGTTCGATTCTTTTATTTTCATTGGAAGAAGTTTTTGCATCCAATTAGATATTATATCAGAGATTGATATAAAAACTATCTTGAGTTAAAAGTTGTACGGCACAGCCAGGCAACGTTATTTCTAGCGGAAAACTAAAAAATGTATTTTTTAATAAATGTTTTTACTGCACTATCAGCGGTAATAATTAAATTTTTAATAGTAATAGTATATTTAATTTGTACAGCACAACATTTCGGCGTTTCCATCCCAGCCCATGTTTATTAAAGGAAATGCCGACAATAATCCCGTTTTCGTTTTTTGCCGTTTTTCTTGAGAAAGTATACGTTTTTTGTTTCCAAATGCACCTGGTCATACTAGTGAAATAACTCAATTATGATCGAGTGCTCGTTGATGAATATTGACGATTTTTAATTATTTTTGGTCATATTGAACTTATTCTCCGAGATTTCTATTCGGATGCCAGTTATTAAAAATGACTGCCGCTTCTTGATGAGTTTTATAATCATCTCCCACAATCAAAACTATTTAAATTTTCTCCTAAGAAGTTAACAGAGCTGCCATTTCTTGTATTTTATAAATTGTAACTAGCGTTTTGACGTTTGCTATCAAAAATTCCATTGGTTTGTCAGTGCATCTTACAGGAGAAGGTAAGGTAGTCGGATTTTTGTAATTTTTGATATTTATGGTATGTGTAGTTTGGACCTTGAATAAGAATTTTTCGAAGTAGTTCGAAGCAACGTTCATAAATTACCGAGATGACAGATTTTGAAGTTTTACCTGACAGCTAAATCCACTAGATGTGACACATTCTTCAACTGAGAGCGTGGCTTAATAGGTAGCGTTCGGAACTGACAGTCACGAGATCGCTGGTTCGAGTCAGTCGCGTGACATTTTATTATTTACCATATGGTATTTTATTATTTTTTTCATCTCGAAAATTATGAACAAACGAAATATAATATTTCATTAAAATGCACAATTGGTTGATAAACAATATTTATTATGAATTAACAATAAAGTTTCTTTAAAAAAAAAACAAACAAGGTCAGGTAGGTTTTTTATTTTATTTTTAGTATTTGACATTTTACGCAGTGTGGCATAAGCCAGAATGATAGTTATCATAGAAACATGGGAAGCAGAAACTTTTTATGCCCGAGCAGGTGTGTTTTTTTAAACACGGTGGACGACGCACACAACCTAGCTTAAAATGTTAATTAAACACTTGAAGAATATTCCTACATACAGTTCTCATAATATTTCGTTTATTCATAATTTTCGAGATCAGAAAAAGAAAGGAAGCTATAATAGATGCTTAAAAAATTTCTGCTTCCCATTTTTTTATGATAACTATTAACTACTATTGGCTCGTGCCACACTGCGTAAAATGTCAAATAGTAACATATATATAAAATAAAAGAACATCCTACCTGACCTCGTTTGTTTTTTTTAATGAAATCTTATTGTTAGTTCATAATAAATATTGTTTATTAATCAATTGTGCTTTTTAATGAAATATTTGAAGAATATTCCTACATATACATAAGTATTTTTTATAATATTTCATTTGTTCATAATTTTCGAGATGAAAAAAATAATAAAATACCATATGGTGCGTTACGAAAAAAAATATATATATCACGCGACGGACTCGAACCAGCGATCTCGTGTCAGTTCCGAACGCTACCTATTAAGGACGTTCGATACATCTCTTACGGGGCAGGCGGTGCGGGAGGGAAGCCTATGCTTATACACGGTAGTTTCGTTGTAGTACCAACCTTACATAAACTAATTTGAGCGAACTAAATATAATATATACGAATGAAATTTATACAACACATATTAGCTTGCATATATTTTTCGTGTTTAATGCACGGCAATTAACTTTTTATTTGAATAAAAGTGTCTATTTATTTATTAAGAGTTTGTAAAATTATGGATGAAATCTGGCAACAGTGCTATGACCATGCCGTAGTGGTAATAGTTGGGTCAACTGTCATTACTGTCAACTGTGCTTTGCGCATATTTCGTAAACTTGATGAGCATTCAAGATACAAAGGAAAAGCAATATAAAATGCGTATGAAACATAATATGGATTGATGAGAAAAAAGTAAAATGTGCAAACCGAGAATCTATATGATAACTATCAAGAAGCTCAGTGTATGATAGTGAGACGTCGCCTTGTCAAATTGAAGATTATGACAGAACATCTATACTGTTCGTTT